CAGGTTAATTACTGCAAGATGCAGGTTACTTCCACAAAATAATATAAGCAACTAATGTGTAATGAACAACTTTGCTTCTGTAATTCTTCCTTCTCTAAAATTACCCATTTTCAACTATCTACTGGATTATTCTTGACAGAATACAAATATGTTATACTTTCTGACTCTTTTAAATTGCTCCCTTGGAGCATAAATTCCTCTCTAGCTATCATGCAGTTTCTCCAAAACTCTTTTAGCAAAACTTGGCCAAAGAGCCATCTAGACTTCTGGTCTACCCTGCCTCACCTCCCATCAGAACATGAACTCACTTCGGTCTGTCCCTTGTCCCCAGTCCCCCACTGACATGGTGTTGCCAATGAACCCATCCTTCCCCAAATGCTCCATGCTCAGTCCTTATTTTATTTGGCCTCTTAGAAGCTTTTGATAATCTGACAACTCCTTTCTGCAATGCTCTCTTCACTTGTATTCTCTTAAATGCCCTTTCTTTTACCTTAATAGTGGATCAAAAGGAAAGAAAGGAGAATCCTAAACATGCCTATTGAAGCAATAAACCAAGAACAATTTTGCTTGTGATTTTTTCTTTTAACCTTCTATGCTTCCTGCTGCTAATTATCTGTGAAAACTAACGAAAATCTCCTGAGAAATCTACCAAAAACTTTCCCAGGCTCAACTTAAATTCTGTTACAAGGTCAAATAACTCCTTTAGGGTCTTGTTTATAAACAACATGTCTCAGGTTCCGTGGAGAGTCTTCTAGCTCTCAGCACTGTCACTTCGGGGGGCTCAATGCTACTCTGTATTTTTGGTGTCAAGCAGAAAAATGTGTCCCTCAGGAGACCTTCTCTGACAGCATTCCTCTCATGGCTCTAGTCTACACTGTATTAACTGCACCTTCCAGAACATCATGCCATTTTCTTCATATTACATCTTATCAAGACCCAGCTGAGTTCTGTTGGTGCCCTGGGTTAGCTAATGACTTGCCATTCCTTTAGACCATATTCTGTAAATACCTGAATGGGCTGGAGTTCTCTCCTCATTAGAATACTTTTTCATACTCTTCTGTTATTAGCCAAACATACCCATGCAAAGTTCCATCCTACTACAACTCCAAATCCCCAAACACGCCCTTCTGAGCATCACAACAAAAACATTTTTTCCAACCACATATAACACTCTGCATGAAAACACTTCAGTCAAACACAGCTTTCTCCATCTACGGTTAGAACTAACCTCTCCCCCATAGGCACATCCATGGCTAGTCTATGTTTTAACGCTGTCCACAGCTATCAGTTAATTGTACAATTTTTTTGTTTGATGGCAAGATCTCCCAGTAGACTGTAAGTACTTAGATAAAAACAGTATCTGTTTTGCTCAACACTATCTCTGGTGCCAATAAAATGCCTAATCCATGAGACATGTTCAATCAATACTTGAATGGACAAATGACTCAATTCATTTCAGATACAGACATATACATTCTTAGTCCCTTGTGTAATGTGACATAAGGTAATCTATTTCTTTACTATAGACCAGATATGTTTTAAAAACTTTAAAACTAATTAACCAGTACCATCACCCACATTTATGTGCGTTAGTTTTTATTATTAGCATTTGAAAATCCAACTCCCCTATTATATTTCCTTTTGCTCATCCATACCAGAAATATAAGTCCTATGTAAGAATAGAAATAGACCTCCTTTTATCACTCAGCCATTTCATTGCTGGCCCAGTGCCCAAGTGCATATTTGCAGCAGAAAGATGTGAGGAGTTACTGAAATGCCCTTTCCTTTATTCCTTCTGTGAGGTAGGCATGCCTCCTCCACTACACTTTTATTATCATCTAATTAATCAAACAATAAAAAAAACTTATAAAATGCTATAGCAATATTTGTAGAATATGGGGATTATAAAAACTTAATATAAATTAATAAACATAAAATGTATGGGATTTTCCAGATGATTTATCATCCTAAACCCTCATCCCTTATAATTTGTTGTAAACTTTGAGAAGCACTTCTTGAGAGCAGTTTATCACTTTTAAATTCAGTAAGTCTTTTTTCTTCCATCTTTCTATTTGTACAATACAGAGAAAAAAATTCTGAACATTATTGCTTCAGGTATTTGGGGGGATATAATAATGATAAATTATTATTAGTGCTAGACATGTACACATAAACTCTTTAAATTTCCAATAATCTTCAAAGATATATCATATTTTATTTGCATTTTATACTAAAGAAAATGAAGATTAGTGAGGTTAAATAACTTTGCCCAGTCCAAAGCTGGAAGTGAGGGAACTAGGATTCTAAACTCATGCATCCTTGATCCCAAATTTCATGCTATTAATGTCCACATGATATTTAGTGTGTTTATGATTATATGTTTATTCTTGATATGCAAAAACTGCTGAATACAAACACTGTATGGAACTAACAAAAGTACTCATGTGGAGGACAAACTATAGCATGAGTCTTAATACAGTTCTTCTACAAAGATAAATTTTTCAGAAAATTAAATTTTGGCAGTAAACTTTAAATAAAAGTAATCTCTCTCATAAAATGATAATGGCAAGTAAAGGAGATATCTGTTTCTATCATTAATGCACCAAAATTGTTTTTTAAAAAAAGGTCACGAACAGTGTTAAACTCCTTATCAATCATCTCCACAATAAAAGCAACAGCTTTCATAAGTGATATTGCACAAAGATTGGATTCTATGGTATACACATATATAAAATAATGTAATATACAAGGTTATATTTTTTCTAATTGCTAATTCTAAAAATATTTAAAGCATATCTGTAAATTATAAATAAAATAAATACCTAATGTGATCTTTAATTATGTTACTGTTATTCAAATCAATTAGCTCATCTGGAATAGAAATAATAGTAATATCAAAGAAGGTTTTATATACTACTGTGGGCAGGAATCCCTTAGAAGAAACGCAGTAGCCATCATGGTCAACAGAAGAGTCCAAAATGCAGTACTTGGATGCAATCTCAAAAACGACAGAATGATCTCTGTTCGTTTCCAAGGCAAGCCATTCAATATCACGGTAATCCAAGCCTATGCCCCGACCAGTAACACTAAAGAAGCTGAAGTCGAACAGCTCTATGAAGACCTACAAGACCTTCTAGTACTAGAACTAACACCCAAAATATGTCCTTTTCATTATAGGGGACTGGAATGCAAAAGTTGGAAGTCAGGAAACACCTAGAGTAACAGGCAAATTTGGCCTTAGGGTACAGAACGAAGCAAGGCATCACCAACTCAATGGACATGGGTTTGGGTGAACTCTGGGAGTTGGTGATGGACAGGGAGGCCTGGTGTGTTGCGGTTCATGGGTTAGTACTAGAACTAACACCCAAAAGATGTCCTTTTCATTATAGGGGACTGGAATGCAAAAGTTGGAAGTCAGGAAACACCTAGAGTAACAGGCAAATTTGGCCTTAGAGTACAGAATGAAGCAAGGCATCACCGACTCAATGGACATGGGTTTGGGTGAACTCTGGGAGTTGGTGATGGACAGGGAGGCCTGGTGTGTTGCGGTTCATGGGGTTGCAAAAAGTCAGACACGACTGAGCGACTGAACTGAACTGAAAGAAGGTTTGACTCAAGTAAAATCTATGTAGAGATTCCCTTCTTCCTCTTTTTTTCCTAGTTCACAAAGATAGTGGTGAGACTAGTTCCTGGCCATTGTCCATAATAGCACCAAAAATACAAAATGGTTGTCAGGTAAGCATAGTATCTGGATCTCAAGTTTGCAGTCTAAACCTCTGACTGTTGTAAGCCATGAGATTTTGCACTTGGTAAAATTGAAAAGGTGCAATCTATCATGTGCTATGAAGAAACTTACTGGAGATAAAATAGTAACTTGCAAAAGATGAATACATAATTTTGTATGCTTGCAAAAATTCTCCAAGTTCATGATCAAATATTATTCCTATGCACTGAATCCTACCTTTTACAAGAATCAAAACAACTATGTTTACTAGCATTTTACACAAAGGCAATGTTTTATGTGTTCATCCATCATATTTTAATTATGGGCTTGGCAGTAGTATGGTATTCAAAGCAAAATGTACTACAACCTAAGTCTTAGTCCATCATTATTTCTAAACTCTGAAGATGAAACAAATGCATATGAGTTGATGATTATAGGCATTTTACATTTCTATAGAAAGGTGGCTATTTTTTTAGATTTACAGAAAGGGAAATATCAACAACATTATGTTATTACAGTTCCTTTGACTTAAAAATAGAAAAAAAAAAGAACTTAGAAGAAAAATAACTTCATGAGCAGCTATCATATATAATTAATTTGATGTTATTACATAAATTCATGTAACAAAGTATCTTTCTGCTTCTAATCTCCAGAAGGAAATCTTAATACTGCATTTTGAATCATTTCTATCACAGAAGCTTCCTGCTATTTAAAACAATAACTTAGACTTCTATGAAGATAAGAACTCTAACTATATGATGCATTTCTAGCCGAATACCTAACTTTAGAGTTACTTCAACGGCAACTTAATTTACAAATTACTCAAAAGTGAATGAACAGATACCAAGCATTAGAACTTCATCTCATTTTATATTATTGCCAGACAAATAAGTTCCAGTCTGAACAACAGAAGGAAGAAACACCTTGATACACTTTTTAAAATTTTCATAATTGTTAATCTCTAAGAGGGATTCACAACTTACAAGCAGTGATGCTGACTATAGACTCTTCTCCCTATGAAGGTAAACAATATTTTGCAAATTTACATATTTGAATTCTGACATCATATGACTTGATACATAAAAATTTGGACTGAGTAATTCTGAAACATACACCTATATGAATATGAAGTTAGTTTCTACTAAACCGTGCTCGACTCACAGGAGCAGACCAGTTGTTCCTCTGTGTCATTGTGCACAGAACTTCTCAGTTGTAACTTCCTTGCATAAGTTACTTCTAGTGATAAAATAAAGCAAGCCTCGCTTGTGTCTCTTACCTTTGCCATGGCTTCTCCCATCCTCCAAAAGTGGTACTACGATAGTGTTGTTCACATTGCCAGGTGACCGCACAGCTGTGTAGACAACAGGCACCGACTGGACCACCACGGGGATGCGGTGAACGTGACTCAGTTTGTTAGACTGTAAATTCATGGGACTTGAAGGCGGAACAGGATGGATAATGTGCAAAAACTGCTGGCCTCCCACACCAGAGGCAGAGGCAACGAGGGGCCCTGGAGTTAATACTGTCGACGAAGATGATGCTGAAGATACTGATGTTATAACAGTCGGGGATGAGGCTGGACGGCTAGAGGACGATGAGGAGGTTGAAGTTGAAGAAGGTGAGGAGGCGGACGCTGTCATGGAAACTGGGGAGGATGAAACGGCTGTAGGGGATGTCCTGGCTTTGTTGATGGACAAGTCCACTGGCTCAGTTTGTGTCTGGAAGTGATCTACGGATAATGAGTCCTCCGGGGGTTCCCCTTTCACATTATTTAGCAACAGGGGAACAGCCTCCATATCGGGGTACTTGTGGACGTTTGGAGACTGTGGGGAGAAAAATGGAACATGTTTATCTCCATTAATCACACCCTTTAATAGATGTACGATGTATGACTTGAATGCTTATTAATTTTTCTCTTATTGCTGTGGAACATTAATTCACTCTCCAAGTATCTGAGATACTGATCTGTGACAATCATCATAATTAAAGACGAGACAAAGGTACAACAAGACAGTTGGCAGAGCAACAGACATAATTGTTAAAATCCAGGGAAATAAGTGCACTATGGGGAAGAAAACAGGCCACGGAAACCTAAAAATGAATAGCGATTTTACATAAAACCTAAAAGACAAGTTCAGAGTACAAAGTATTTTCTTTGGCTGTTGTTCAGTCATCCAGTCATGTCCAACTCTTTGTGACTCCATGGGCTACAGCATGGGGTCTTTGGTTGTAGTTATACTGTCTTCTTAAAATATTATATATACAACTAACGTTATAAACATTCATTTTGTTGGTCTGACCCATCACTACACTTATGAGTTTTAGTTTCCATTAGTTATAAATTAATGGAAACTTTGATAAGATAACCTTAAATATCCTTTCCAGCTCTAAAATTCTATGATTTCATGATTCTAACCCTTATTCAATACTATTATAGGAGGCCTGGCAACAATATGGGAGAAACTCATTATGATATTTCAGCTTTCATATTTGGAGAAATATCCACCATACCGTTCTCGTTTTGAGCATTAAAACAGAGCATAAAATTCTCCAACTTCTCACACTCAATTATGAAAGTATTCAATACAAATCATTTCTAACAACTGGATTATAACTTAGCTCTTAACAATGAAAAAGATTTTCTCAAAATAATATACAGAAATTCCACAACAGACATTTTTGGGAAATAATAATTTTAGGAAAAACTTATTCTATAAATCTTAAATTGCCTACACTTACGTTGTTTAAGACAATGGTAACAATTTTGTCCAAGTTTGTTTTCATTTCTTTCAAGTTTTAATGAGCAAAATTTAATAATAATAATAGGAACAACAAACAATAATAATAAAGAATCCAAGATTCCACCCAAACTAATAGGCTCAGTGTGTTATTACTGAGCATAAATATAATTTACTTCTATAGTTATTCACTCATAAATTCAAGAAATATTTATTAAATGCCTATTTCCAAGGCCTAAAATGGCCTCCAAACTAGTCTGTGTCTGTCTAGCCTTAACAGAGAGTTAAGACTATAATGGATTATTTTTGGTTATATATAATCTGACCAGGCTAACAGGCACATTGTTGTTCTATTACATGAAGATCAAAAACTCTTTTTTTTCAGCTTCATTATGGTATGAGAACAACAATGCCTAAAATTGTATTAAATTGGCTCATTTCATTCTTTAATAAAAGATTTGGTTCGCTATTGCTCTCAAACTTGAGTGTACACTTAAAAGAACAAAACATGCTTCTTCAAATCTTTCTTCATAGAATATAAATTATAGCTCCATTCAGAAAATACAATAGTGCATGGGCATTTTATTTAGCAACAATGAGAAAAGAAAAGAAATAAGCTAAACAATAGTACCAGAACAACTAAAAAGGAAAATGAGTTGATGTTTTATTTTTTTCTTCTAAGTTAACATGGTTACTTACCCGCAAAAAGATAACTAGAAAATATAAAAATGAACCATCCAAAATATATACTGCATAAAATTTTAAATGACAAGATTTCACGTGCTGAAATTGAGACATAAGAACTTAAATATTCTCAGATATTAAGAAACAAAGGAAAACAAAAACAAATGCCATAAATAGAGCAACTTTTATAAAAAGCTATTAGCATTATCTATTCTTCTAACAAGAAGAGTATTTCAATCTGTACCCAGTATTATCATTTAATTTCTTTGTAGAACAAGGTAGGATGTTTCTTATTAGTGTGTTATACCCATACAGGAATTCTTTGTTGAGGCTGGTTTCATAAAATATCCCAATTGGTTTGTCATTAAAATTGTAAAATATGTCATTAAGCACATACTATCAAACATGGTTTGCTTTCGAATATAGTCTTGAGATTAACTTCTCTCTTTTACTATATTAGAGAGCTCCAAAACTCTAATTTTGGAGATAATGATTAATTTCCATCACAAACCTCTTCCTAACTATACCTGGACACAAAGTTTAGCATAGGTTTAAAAACCCAAGTCCGACATATAATTCATCATTGCAGAAAACTCTTCGTAAAGTAAATTAAAGAGTACTTTAGCAGACTATGACAATACAGTTGGTAGATTTGGAGCTTATAGTGCAAGTAGATGGCTTCTGAGGCATCAAGCTTCAGTGAGCTTTGCAAACTGCTTAGACTTCTGTATATTATGAACACAAGTCTATATTTTGTAGGTAATATAGCTTAATCTCTCACTAAAAGAATTTACCCCTTATTGTTTTTTAAAAATAGAAGAATGTTCCTCTGGTAATTCTGTTGCATACGCCAGAAAGCTAAGAAGATCTAATACTAAGAGCCCTGTATTGTTACAGTCTGTCAGTCAGTCGTGTCCGACTCTTTTGTGAACACATGGACTGTAGCCTGCCAGGCTCCTCTGTCCATGGAATTCTCCAGGTAGGAATACCGGACTGGGTTGCCATGCCCTCCTCCAGAGGATTGTCCTGATCCAGGGATCGAGCTCAGGTCTCCTGCAGTGCAGGTGAATTCTTTACCATCTGAGTTGCCAGGGAAGCCCCCTAAGAACCCTAGGTGCGTTTAAGTCCTTTATAACTACACAGCTTTTACATAAGCTCAAATCACAATATAGAAAATGAGGAAAAAAAATCAGGAAGGATCAACCAAACCTTTGGATGACAGACATATCTTATTCGGGAATGTTAGACACATTATGCATGAATTTAAACATCACAGAGGCATATACTAGTTCCTATTTCACATGTAGCAGATGAAACACAGCCAGCACATCTGAAAACAATGCTTTATCAGTATAAAGAGGACAAAACCCTCATCATACCATTCAACTATTTACAGTGTTGACATAATATCATATTCTCATAGCCCTAACCAATCACTTCTCCTGTGATAATGTGGCCAGTAAACCATCCATAATTCCAGCTTCAAGCTGCACATACACACACGTTAAGACCAGCAATACTATATAAATAAGTTTCCCAAACAGTGTATGCACACTCCTCCTTTTAGGAAAGAGAAAAGACCTAAAAGGTTTGATCCTGAAATTGTTATTAGAAATTAAATTTCCTGGATTTTAGAAAGTGCCGGAAATGCATTGACCAAGAGATACGAATTCATAAACATGTAACTGTAGGGAAGCCATGGGAGAGTAGCCAAGAGAAAGAAAGAAAGTTGGAGAAAAACCAACTGAGAAGTCCTGAGAGCACTTAGAAATGAAAGGACTTGAGAAATCCTACCCAGATTTCAGAAAGAGAGAAAAGATATGGATGGTTATGTGACCAGGAAACAGCATCTAAGAGGCAAAGACACGGAGAAAAAAGCAGAAATCACAAAGAAAAGTTTTATGCCCAAATAGGAAAAGAAAATTTTGTTAAAAAAAAGAACAATGAAAGGATTTCATACTAAAATTTTGCCCTTGGTCTCTAACTATTCAATTCTAGATACAACAGTGATGGACAGCTCTTGCAGCAACATCCTCCCACTAAGCACTGCTGCTGTTTTGTTATTTGTTTGTTTTAAATAAAAGCCCATTAAGATCTCTGTTTGGGGGAAACGTCTAGCTGAACTTTTGCTGCTGATGACCCTGGTGTGGAAAACATGATCAAACACATAAACTATATTCAATATTATCAACAGAAACAGAATTCCTTCTAAAGACGTGAAGATAAAAGGGCACTCTGCATTTTATGTCAAAGAGAATGAGCCATTACTTTCATTTTCCAAAAAATGACATAATATTTTGGAGGGGGGTCCACAATATTTTCGCCTCTCATTCTTTAAGAAATAAATGCATAAATATCCACAAGTCTGGTAAATGTAACAATCTACTTCATAAGAAGGTATGAGAACTGAAAGATAATATACATAGGATTATACTGCTGTATCATATTGTTTCTTCAAGAGTCTGAAAGTCAGTTTGATTCAAAATAATTCACTCAATAAAGTACAATGCACAATATTCCAGTAAACATATTCCTTTCAGCGAGATGAGGATTACATGTGAGCTGTTCTAATCAGATCACCTTTCTCCTAAATAAATGTTTTAAATTCTAACTTCAGCTTTAGGCATTTTGTTGAGTGAATATAAAAATGTATCTAAAACTTGCTATATGTGAGTATTCACAGTACCTGCTGTGTTTCCTAAAGTCAGCCACTAGCATCAGATGAATCTCATTACAGTCCTCAAGTGAGTTCTTTTTAAAGCTTGCCGTGTATTGATATTTTGATCACCTGGTAATTTTAAAAGAGGAAAAAAAAATAACTGGAAAACACCTCATCTTTGGAAACCCCTCCAGAGACTCCTATGTGTAGTCATGGTTGAGGAACACTTGGGTAATATCCTGCTATATGTCCTCCAAGATTTATAAGCTAACTCTCATCTTTAATGGCACCAGGGATTTATGTCTAGAGAAGATCAGACATTACACATACACACACACACATGCACACACACAGTGATTTAGTCGCTCAGTCATGTCCAGCTCTTTGCCACCTTCCTTCTCTGTCTATGGGATTTCCCAGGCAAGAATACCAGAGTGGACTGCCATTTCCTTCTCTAGGGGATCTTTCCAACCCAGGGATCAAACTGGGGTCTCCTGCTTTATAGGCGGATTCTTTACCAACTGAGCCACCAGGGAAGCCCCCACACAGGCATATACACAAAAAAGATGCGTCAAACCATCTATCTATCCGTCCCCCACTCTATGCATCTATTCATCTAGTCAACCAATAAGCTAGCAAGAATTTAAATAGATTATGTTTAAGTTTACCTTTATAACTTTTTGAGAAATCACTTCAAGGGAGTGTTTAGAAAAGACTATAGAGTGACTTACCTAGTATATAG